GGAGGGGCTGATGGCTATTTTCAGGCTGGCCACAGCCATAGGCTGGAAGCAGGTATCTGGGATTTATTTATCTTCTATAATTGAAACTTTGTAGCCTTGAGCGGAGCTCACGGCTGGCAGGGCCGGTGGGAAGCTTGGCTTCCTCCATTGCTGGGGGAAACCCAAGCTCCTGGTCACTCCAGGTCCATGGCCGCCGCCATCTTAGTTGGGTTAATTTGCATATTCGCTCCTGATTGGCAGGTGGGCTGGCTGGTGGGTGTGGTTTGTGGGTGTAGCAGAGGTATGGTCAATTTGCATGTTTCTTTTCCATTCCATTCCATTCCATTCCATTCTATTCTTTTCTATTCTATTCTATTCTACTAGAGGCCCAGTACACGAATTAGGGGACCAGTGGGGTCCCTCAGCCTGGCCTGCGGGATTGGGCCAAAACTGGCTCTCTGACATCCCCCAAGAGGTTCTGGATTGTGAAAGGGCACAAGCCAGGCCAAAGGACCCCACTGGTGCATGATCGGGGCTGGGGAGGGACACCAGAGGTTTGCCAGCTGGGGAGGGATTGTGGGAGGGCTCCAGGGCGTGTCCAGCCCATCTCACTCAGTCCCAATTTGCCAGACCCCAGCAACAAGCTAACCTACCAGTCAGAGTGTCTGCCCCCTGGTGGTCAGTGCACGTCATAGCGACTGGTTGACCGGTCAACTGTCTGCCCTCTGGTGGTCAGTGCATGTCATAGCGAGTGGTTGCATGGCCTTAGCATATCATTAGCATATTACGGTTTGGCTAGTTGAATGGCTGATGGGTCAACTGGACACTTATCATATTAGGCTTTTATTATATAGGATTCCACATGTAAGAGTTTGGGTCAACACTTAGCTATGAAATGACTGAGTCATATGGTAAAAGTAACTTAAAATGTATTTAAAGAAAATGCTAAAATGTCATCCTAAGTGTTTTTTTCCATTTATGTTCCCACCAGGCTTGCATGTGTTGGTCTATACTCTAACCACCACTTTCTATGATCAGATTTTTTAAAG